CAGCCATCATCATCATCATCATCATCATCATCATCATCATCATCATCATCATCATCATCATCATCATCATCATCATCATCATCATCATCATCATCATCATCATCATCGTGATCATCATCGCCATCATCATCAGCAGCAGCAGCAGCATCATCGTCGTCATCATCGTCATCATCATCATCAGCATCATCGTCATCCACGTCCTCATCATCAGCAGTATCAGCAGCATCAGCATCAGCGTCGACATCAGCAAAATCATAATTATCATCATTGCCAGTATCATAATCAGAATCATCATCATCATCAGCATCATCAGCATCATGAGGATGATCATCATAAAGATCATCATCATCATCATCATCATCATCATTATCCTCACTATCATGAGCGACGTCATCATCAGCCGCATCATCAGCGGCAGCATCATCATCAGAATCATCATCATCAACACCACCATCACCATCATAAATATCATGCTCAACATCATGACCTCCACCACAGCAACCATAATCATCACATTCATCATCATCATGAGCAGCAGCAGCAGCATCATCCACCACCGGCAGCATGAGCATCATCATCATCAACAACAGCATCACCCCCATCATCATCATCATCATCAGCATCATCATCATTCTCATCATAATCATCATTATCACAATCAGCATCAGCATCGTCATCATCATCGTCACTCACCATCAGCATTGTCATCATAATGACAGTCAACGTCATTATCATCCGCACCATCGCCACCATCATCAACATCATCACCATCCTCATCATCGACAGCATCACCGACATCATCATCAGCATCATCACAATCCTCATCAGAATTAGCATCCAAACCATCCACATAATCACAACCACCACCACCATCATCATCTCCGTCATCATCAGCAGCATCATCATCATAATCACCATCACCGTCATACTCGTCCTCATCAGCATCATCATTGTCATTATCACCGCCGCCGTCATCAGCATCATCATTATCAGCATCATCGTCATCAGCATACTCATCATCAGCGTCATCATCATCAGCATCGTGATAAACAACATCACCATCAACATCATCATCAGCATCAGCATCAGCATTAGCTTCAGTATCAGCATCAGCACCAGCATCATCAGCATCATCATCATCATCATCATGAGCATCGTCATTGCCATCTCCATCGCCATCATAATCATCGTCGTCACCATCATCATTACCACCACCATAGTCATTATCATCATCATCATCATCATCAACAGCAGCATCATCACCATCAGCCGCAGCAGCATAATCATCTGCAGCAGCATACTCATCATCATCAGCATCATCATCAGCGCAGCATCATTATCATCAGCAGCATCAGCATCATCAGCCTCATCATCCTCATCCTCATCCTTACCCCCATCATCATCAACATCAACATCAACATCAGCATCAGCATCAGTATCAGCATCATCAGCATCAGCATCATCGTCATCATCGTCACCATCACCATCATCATTAGCACCATCACCATCAAAATTATCCTGATCAGCATCAGCATTATCATTATCACCATCGCCGTCATCATCATCATCATCATCATCATCATCATCATCATCATCCGCATCATCGTCATCATCATTAGCATCAGCATCATCAGCGTCATCATCATCATCATCATCATCATCATCAGCAGCAGCAGGAGCATCAGCATCAGTATCATCATGAGCATCGTCATTGCCATTACCATCGCCATTGTCATCGTCATCATCACCATCATCACCACCACCATAATCACCATCGTCATCATCCGCAGCAACATAATCATCATCATCATCAGCATCATCATCATCATCATCAGCATCAGCATCATCAGCGCAGCATCATTATCATCAGCAGCATCAGCATCATCAGTCTCACCCTCCTCCTCATCATCATCTTCGTCATCATCAACATCAACATCAACATCAGCATCATCATCAGCATCAGCATCATCATCATCATCATCATCATCATAAGCACCATCATCACCATAACCATCCTCAGCAATATCAGCAGTATCATTCGCACCATCGCCGTCACCATCATCAGCAACATCGTCATCATAATCACCATCATTATCATCATCATCATCATCATCATCATCATCATCATCATCATCATCATCATCATCATCATCTTCATCTTCATCTTCATCACCATCATCAGCATCATCGGCATCATCAGCAGCAGCAGCATCAATCAGCATCATCATCATGAGCATCGTCATTGACGTCACCATCGCCATTGTCATCGTCTAGTCACCATCATCGCCACCACCGTAAACATCATCATCGTCATCATCCGCAGCAGCATAATTATCATCATAATCATCATCATCATCAGCAGCAGCATCAGCATCATCATCAGCGAAGCATCATTATCATCAGCAGCGTCGCCATCATCAGCATCATCCTCATCATCATCCTCATCATCATCCTCATCATCATCCTCATCGTCACCAACATCAACATCATCATCAGCATCAGCATCAGCATCAGCTTCAGCATCAGCATCAACATCAGCACCATCATCATTAGCATCATCATCAGCATCATCATCAGCATCATCATCATCAGCATCATCATCATCATCATTATCATCATCATCATCATCATCATCATCATCATCATCATCATCATCATCATCATCATCATCATCATCATCATCATCATCATCATCATCATCATCCCTGATCCCCCGTCCTTCTTCCCCCCTCAGCCTGCGGCCTCTCGACACCCCCGATCCGCTTCCTCATCCTCCTCTGCACTTCTCCCTCCTCCATTCCTCCCTGCCTCCCTCCCTCCGCCCCCATCCTTCCTCATCCCCCCTCGTCCTACGACGACGGCATGGTTTGACGACAACGACGACCACCACGACCACGCCCACGACCACGACCACGACCGTGACGACGACGGCCCCAACGACAGCCCCGACGAGGACGAATGCCGACGGCCGAGGGCCTTCAGGCTTGACCACCTGGAGCGGCCGGGGCGTCGCCCCGTCCTTGACGTACGGTTCCTTGACGTCCTCCGCCCGCCGCCCGGGGGGCTGGCCAGCGAGGAGCGGCACGACTGCGCTGTGGGGAGGAGGCGAGGGAAAGGGAAGGGGAAGAGGGAGAGGGAAGGGGGAGATGGAGGCGAGAGGGAGAGGGGGAGACGAACAGGAGGGGCGGGAGGGGGGAGGGACGCAGGGGCAAGGGGGGAGGGAAGGGGAGCGGGAGGGGGATGGAAAAAGGGGGGAAGCTCGCCGTCGCTCGGACGTCCGTTCCATCCGCATTTTTCGGTGTCGTGCGCGTTTCTGTTGGCCCGATGGTCGCGGATGCTCCTCGAAGTTCCTCGCCGAGCAAACAAGCACACGTCCGAGCGATGGGTGATGGAAGGGGAGAGAAGGCAGAGGGTGATGGTGTGATAGGGGGGGGGGGGGGAACGTGCACCTTTCGTGCCCCTTTTGGGCCCCAGGTGGCCTCTTGATCTCCTCCTCCTCCTCCTCCTCCTCCTCCTCCTCCTCCTCCTCCTCCTCCTCCTGCTCCTCCTGCCCCTCCTGTGCCCCGATTGGTGTTTGCATGCCCCTGTCGACACACCTTCGCCGCAGATCGGCGCTGCGGAGATCTCTGCGGAGCCTTCGCGCGGAAGCATTCCGTCGTGTCCGCCCCCTTTCAGAACACCAGTTTCCGAGCCCCAGACTCGCACTCTCCGACTGCCAGCTTCGACCTGGGGGAATGGGCAACACACACGCTCTGGCGATGATGTCTTGGTGCTCGGCCAAGGCTCTGCAACCTTGGCTGTATCCTTGCTTGCTCAGCGAGTTCGAGCATAAACACTAGTATGTAGAGGCGCGCTGTCTGCCGTCAACGTTGTGGCACTGATGCCGAGAAGACAATGCAAGACAATGCGTCCACCAACCAGCCCCGGCCAACCAACCACTATCGAGTCGCAGCGCATAAAATGCGCAAGCCGCAGCCCCCTTTTTTCGAGAGAGCTGTTATACGACTTGACAATCTGGACAATATGCTTGTCGCCCAAACTCCATGCGATGCCTACGGCGGAGAAGCCTCCGCGTTGAGAGCGCCATGGCTTCACAACGCGATTTACTACACGCTGCACGCCTGCAGCCTGCCACTGGCTGCAGTGCGGCATCACAATACGAGTCAAAGGCTGTTGCTCATGGACAGTCGTGCCAGGGGGGCGAAAAATGGGGGGCCGCACCCCCAAGATTCGTGGTAAGAATGCGATGTGTAAGGAATGCGGACGCAAAGTGCTACAAAACTTCTTGATCTCACTGTCGGCGTGCTGCCGCTCCGAACACAAACGGCGCACGCGGAGCGCGTGAGCGAGCGGCCATGCTCGGTGCACGCCGGCGGGATGCATGCTGCGATCGCTGAGGGGGATCCACAAAGACGACCGCTTGATATGGATGCGGTGATCCATGATGCCCGTGGAGCGCCAGCGGGGCCTACGGTAAAACACGACGTCGAGCATCTGAACCTCATCGGAGGCGATACTCTCAACTTCTAGCTTAAATACCGTTGACAGCTCTTGCAATCTGCCAATAAGGGCATCCAGCTGTGCTCTGGACCCCGAATGCACCAGCAGAGTGTCGTCACGATACCTAATATAAGCTACTATGCCGTGCAACTCACAGAATCGATCTTGAGACACGCTGTCGCGCTCACCTTGATTGAAATACGCTGCGTCAGCAACCCCCCCACTACAAGGGAGTCCCATGCCAGCGCCGACGGTGACCTTCCAGACCTTGTCGGGCGCTGTGGGGCACGACGCGCACTGGCAATCCAAAATCGCACGCAGCAGCTTGGCGTATGCATCTTGTTGGACACCGTCGAAAAAAGCTGAGGAATGTTTTTTTGGGGGGGGGCCGCTGGGGGGGGCCCAGGGGGCTTCCTCGGGGCGCCGGCGAAGAACTACCGGAAGACGGCGAGCGCCTAAGACGGCCGGCGGCGAGAAATCAACTACTGGACCATGCGGGGAGCAGCGCGCCTCAGAAGATGTACCGGGGGTAGCAGCGGCGATGATGACGAGCAGAGCCTTGGTGAAAGGACCTCCAAACGCGGAACACGCCCATGCCGGAGCGGCGGGCCATGACGACCTGAGCCTTGCAAGAAGGACCTCCGACCACATAGATGCCCACGGAGCGGCCGGCACTGAGCCTTGTGGAAGGACCTCCGAACGTGAACGCACCGATGTAGGGGCGGCTGAGACTGACGAAATGAGCCTTGCAGAAAGGACCTCCGAACGAACGCCTGACCAGAGAAGTCATGGTGAGAGCCAGAAGTCCTCGGGAGGACGCAATTAGATTGTGTAGGGTGACGTCGAAGTGCCCCGATAACTGACAGCACCCTGCGCATGGACGGCGCCGCCGCCTCCCCGACGGGGCAGGAGCACACGGGAGGCGCGATCAGCGGAGCTCGGGGCGGTCGCCAAAAAACGTCATGCCGAGGCGCGTCCAGCAGACGAACCCGCGAATTCAGAGATGCCGCTGCGGGTACGCATTGCCTGCGCAGCAGCTGCGTGCGCCACCCCTCGTCGCAGCAGCAAGCGATCCCGTCGGTCCGTGCCCCTGCGCTGCAGGCGCTCCGCGCTGTGGTCTAGTCGTTCCAGAATGGTGCGGGCTCACCCCGTTCTCGTTCCATGTCCTGATCTTTGCCAACGCGGCTAGATATTCCGCGCTGCATTGCTGCTGCGAGCGCGAGGGGCCCGACAAGCCGGACGACGCAGAGGTATAGCTCACGACGGCCTGCGCTCGGGGCCTGGCGCCGGGCTGGGCGTCGGGGAGGGCGCTGGCGCCGGGCTGGCAGCCGGGCGGGGCGCTGGCCTCCCAGCCGGGCAGGGCGCTGGGCTGGGCGCCGGCCGCGATGCCGGGCAGGGCGCCGGGCTGGGCGTCCGCGGGGGCGCCGGGCTCGCAGCCGGGTAGTGCGCCGGGCAGCGTCGCTGGGCAGGCTGCCATGCAGGGCGCCAGCCTCGCTGCAGGGCAGGGTGCCGGGCTGGGCGTCGGCTGCATGGGGCGCCTGGCGCGCAGCCGTGCAGGGCGCCGGGCTGGTAGCCCGGCAGGGCGCTGGGCCGGTCGGCCGGGGCGCCGGGCTGGGAGCCGGGCAGGGGCTGGGCAGGGCGCCGGGCTGCGCGCTGGGCAGGGCGCCAGGCTGGGCGTCAGTGGGGGCGCCGGGCTCGCAGCCGGGCAGGGCGCCGAGCTGGGCGTCGGCTGGGGCGCCGGGCCGCTGGTGGCTGGGCAGGGCGTCGGGCTTGCAGCCGGGCTGGGCGTCGCTGGGCAGGCAGCCAGGCAGGGCGCCAGCCTCGCCGCAGGGCAAGGTGCCGGGCTGGGCGTCGGCCGGGGCACCCGGCGCGCCGCCGCGCAGGGCGCCGGGCTGGTAGCCGGGCAGGGCGCTGGGCCGAGCACGGCCGGGGCGTCGGGCTGGCAGCCGGGCAGGGCGTCGGACTGGGCGTTGCCGGGGGCGCCGGGGTGGTAGCCAGGCAGGGCGCCGGGTTGCGTGCCGGGCACGGCGCCAGGCATGAGCGTCAGCGGGGGCGCTGGGCTCGCAGCTGGGCAGGGCGCCGAGCTGGGCGCCAGCTGGGGCGCCAGGCTGCTGGGAGCCGGGCAGGGCGTCGGGCTTGCAGCTGGGCAGGGCGTCGCTGCGCAGGCAGCCAGGCCTGGCAGGGCGCCTCGCTGCAGGGCAGGGTGCCGGGCTGGGCGTCGGCTGGGGCGCCCGGCGTGCCGCCGCGCAGGGCGCCGGGCTGGTAGCCGGGTAGGGCGCTGGGCCGGTCGGCCGGGGCGCCGGGCTGGCAGCCGGGCAGGGCGTCGGGCTGGGCGTCGCTGCAGGCGCTGGGTTGGCAGCCGGGCAGGGCGCCGGGCTGCGCGCCGGGCAGGGCGCCAGGCTGAGCGTCAGCGGGGGCGCCGTGCTCGCAGCCGGGCAGGGCCGAGCTGGGCGTCGGCTGGGGCGCCGGGCCGCTGGTAGCTGGGCAGGGCGTCGGGCTTGCAGCCGGGCTGGGCGTCGCTGGGCAGACAGCCAGGCAGGGCGCCAGGCACGCCGCAGAGCGGGGTGCTGGGCTGGGCGTCGGCTGGGGCGCCCGGCGTGCAGCCGCGCAGTGCGCCGGTCTGGTAGCCGGGCAGGGCAGGGCCGAGCGTCGGCCGGGGCGTCGGGCTGGCTGCCGGGCAGGGCCGGGCGTCGCCGGGGGCGCTGGGCTGGCAGCCGGGCAAAGCGCCGGGCTGCGCGCCGGGCAGGGCGCCAGGCTGAGCGTCAGCGGGGGCGCCGTGCTCCCAGCCTGGCAGGGCGCTGGGCTGGGCGTCGGCCGGGGCGCCTGGCTGCTGGTAGCCGGGCAGGGCGTCGGGCTTGCAGCTGGGCTGGGCTCCGGGGCGGCAGCCAGGCAGAGCGTCGGGCCGCGCGTCGGTCGGGGCGGCGGGCGCGCAGCCGGGCAGGGCGCCGGGCTGGCAGCTGGGCAGGGCGCTGCCATGGGCCGAGCATCGGCTGGGGCGCCTGGCTGGCAGCCGGGCAGGGCGTCGGGCTGGGCGTCGCCGGGCTCGCAGCTGGGCAGGGCGTCGGGCTGGGCTCCGGGCAGGGTGCCAGGAGGCTGGGCGTCTGCGGGGGCGCCAAGTTCGCAGCCGGGCGCCCCGGCCGACGCCTGGGCGGCCTCCGCGCCGAGCGGGGCGCCGAGCCGCGGGCGAACGGGGAAGACTTCCAGGGGTCCGCCCGGGGCGGCGAGGTACCTTTCCAAGAGGCCGATGGGAACCAGGGCGTCATGACACCAAGCCTGCAGCAAATCGCCCCCGAAAGGAGCGTGCTCCTGCCGTGTCTGCTCATGAGCATCATCATCACCAACATCATCCACGGCGAGGTCGAAGCTTCTGGGATCGCCAATGCCAGCGGCGGCGAGCCCATCTCCTCGTCCAAGGCGTCCGGCTGCGAGGCCCGCCCCTCGTCCGGGGGGCCCCAGTTCGGCACGAAGTCCGGCTCGAAGTACAGATCCGCATCCAGCGGCGTCGGGGGTCTCTCTGCGCCGCTTCGGGCCAACGTCGGCGCC